TACCCGTACCCGGCTAGGTACGGGTTCCCTACCCGTACCCGTACCCTACCCGAAATGAGTGGCAAACGGTTACTCACCAGTGACTCACGACATACCCGTACCCGTACCCGGCCGCACCAGGGTCGCAAACGGGTACCTGTACCCGTACCCGGCCGGGTACGGGTAGCCGGGTATCGGGTAGGGTACGGGTATCGGGTACCCGGTTGCGACCTCTGCTGCACGGTCGCGAGCCCGAGTCTCCCCAACGGTCTTACCACATCGCAGGCCTCCCGGAACGTCACCCTCCTTACTCTCGCCCGCCTGTCACGGGAACTCCTTCGGGGAGACACGCAACCCAGTGGTGACCGGCGGCGGCGGTGGCGGCACGGAACGTCGCGACGACTCTGCTCAACTATTGCCCTCGCGCGTGGCACCGATGCTGCCTGGACGCGTCTGCCACGCATCCCCGATACGACAGCGGCGGCGGCGGGGGCGGCGGTGACGGCACCCTGCAGCTGAATTGGCAGCGGGGAATATCGCAGCCGCGTGGGAGGGGCTGGCTAAGGGGGCGAGCTCGGCACACGGGGGGGGGTGTGGTGGGGGCTCCCTTTCGCTGTGGGCGAAGCTTTGCCACGACAGAAATGCCGGAGCCATCGGGAGAATATACTCTTAGTTCTTTCGGTGAAGTCACCATGTAGGTAAACAATGAAATTAAAATTTATAAAAAATAAAATAATAAAATCACGACGTCAAGCTTGATGCAGCGAATCTGGCTGTGACGGTCCCACCTGATGACGGAGACTTGTGTTGCCTCCGAAACGTCGTGATTTTATTGTTTTATTTCTAATAATTTTAATTTCATTTTTTACCTACACGGTGACTTTACCGAAAGAACTACGAGTATGAATCCTTGCAGTCACGAAAGCTTCAAATCTAGAGCCATCGAGAGAAGCTGCAGACGGTACCAGGGCTGGGGTGAGGAGGGGGGGGCGGGGTGGCTGGGGTGAGTGGCTGGGGTGAGGGGGGGCGGGGTGGCTGGGGTGAGGGGGGGGGGGCGGGGTGGCTGGGGTGAGGGGGGTGGGTGGCTGGGGTGAGGGGGGGAGCGGGGTGGCTGGGGTGAGGGGGGGGTGGCTGGGGTGAGGGGGGGGGCGGGGTGGCTGGGGTGAGGGGGGGTGGCTGGGGTGAGGGGGGGGGGGCCCTGCACCACCGAATGTCCCTTCGGCCTGGCCAAGTTCACTTTGCTTCGTGCTGTGAATCTCTGTTATGGTCCCCCCCCCCCACAGACACGACTACCCTACTGGGCACCAACGAAAGTAGCTGGATGTACTCACCACCACTGTGTCAACCACTGTGCCACCGCTCCAACAACAACAACAACCACCGTTCACCACTAAGTTGCGGTGACGTCACCCTCGGCGCTCCTGTGCCAGGCCAGGTGCACTTTGAGGCTGCGTGAATTGTCGAAGTCTCGCAGATGAACCAGACTGGTAGATGCATACCGCTCCCCAGACAAACACACACACACACTAAATTTCGATTTAAAGCTTTCGTGACAGCAGGCGTTCATCTTCTTGGTTCTTTCGGTAAAGTCACGTAGAAGGGAAATAATAAAATAATAAAAATAAAACATAACAAAACAATTCTCACGAACGTTTTGGCCACAACGCAAGCAGGAGAATTTTTTTTATTACGTTTTATTTTTATTATTTTATTACTTCCCTTCTACGTGACTTTACCAAAAGAACCAAGAAGAGTCTTCATAGAAGCAACTCATCCTCACGCTACACTGGCGGGGAGCTCACGGGAGAGGGGTAGGAGGGTGGTTAACGACAGGGCAAGCAAGGCCTGATTTCACCACGCTACTCAGGACATGAGCAGCACCACGTGGTCTTGCCACCCGAGATGTGCGCTCGTATCCATCCCCTCCTGGGCCTCGCTCACCCTGTCCAGGAAGGTGTAGAGCCGCACGGCCTGCTGGACGTGGGCCCGCCGGCTCTCCAGACGCCGGCGGAAGTCGTCGGCGAGCGACCGCAGCTCCCGCGCGGTCCTGGCGCACTGCTCCAGGCCGGGCTCCGCGTCGCTAAACGGCTCCAGCTCCCGCAGGACGTCGGCGGCGTCGTCGCAGCGCTCCTGCACGTCGCCAACATCGTCATCAGCACGGTCGTTGTCGTCGTCGTCGTCGTCGGCGGCGTCATCAACGTTGTCATCGACATCGTCATCGTTGACATCGTCATCAACATCAACGTCATCGTCGTCGTCAACGTCGTCATTGTCAACGTCATCAACGTTGTCAGAGATCGACATCGTCGTGATCAATGTCGTCAACATCAACGTCGTCGTCATCGTCGTCAACGTCGTCGTCAACGTCGTCAACGTCGTCAATTAATCGTCAACGTCGTCGTCAGCATCGTCAACGTCGTCAACATTGTCGTCATTGTCATCGTTATCGTCGTCAACGTCATTATCGTCGTCAACGTTGTCATCGTCGTCATCGTCGTCACCATCGTCATCGTCGTCGTCATCAATGTCATCCACTGAGCTCCGTGTAGCTCTTTGTCAGGAGCGACATGCCTGTCACAAATGAGAGCTCAACAAAGCGGCTCATCACGTGTGAAAATGTACAGCAGCCAAATACCCTAAACGCACACGTTGATTCTAAATGTTGAGGGTAAAACCGGAGGACCTGCAGAACACGCAAACTCCAAACATACAACAGGCATCATCAGGGGTTGGGACTGAACCCACGACCTCCTGCATACCGGGCGAGGCAGTTAACATCTCGCCACGGCGGCTCAACGACAACGATGTGACGATGTGGGGGTTTGTTTCTGGATCACCTTGGCTCTGGCGTAGAAGCTCTGGAACTCCTGGTGAGCGGTGCGCAGGCAAGCCAGAGAGTCCGGAAGAGCGTCCGTACACCGCAGTCCGAGCTCTCCCTCTTGCTCCAGCCAGCTTTGCACCTGAACACCACGCAGAGTCACGGGGGCGGCGAGCGACGTTTGCTTCGGCGACTTGATGATTTTTTTACGATTTAAAGCTTTCGTGACTGCAGGGATTCATCTTCTTGGTTCTTTCGGTAAAGTCACGTAGAAGGGAAATAATAAAATAACAAAAATAAAACATGATAAAATAATTCTCACGACGTTTCGGCCACAACGCAAGCAAGCCGTCCTCAGGTGGAGAACAGGTCTGTCGAGAAGACAGAGTCTGAATGACACACCCCAGGCTTGGAGCGTCTATTTAAGCTGGGATGGAGGGGGGAAGAGCGCCTTGACAAAAGGACCTGTTCTCCACCTGAGGACGGCTGCTTGCGTTGCGGCCGAAACGTCGTGAAAATTATTTTATTATGTTTTATTTTTATTATTTTATTATTTCCATTCTACGTGACTTTACCGAAAGAACCAAGAAGATATTTTTTAACGAGCGTGAACTTTAATCTGCGGTGATTGCACGTGCGCCGAACCACATCGCTCCCCCCCAGCGCTCCACCGTGCTCCTCAATCAGCCCAACTATCCGGCCACCAGAGGTCGCAAACGGGTTTTGATTCCTTACTCTTAGTTCTTTCGGTAAAGTCACGTAGGTAAAAAATGAAATTAAAATGAATAAAAAATAACAACAATAAAATCACGACGTTTCGGAGGCAACACAAGCTTCTGTCTTCAGGTGAAACTTTGATTCCTTACCCGTACCCGTACCCGACCGCACCAGGGTCACAAATGGGTACCTGTTCCCTACCCGTACCCTACCCGAAATGAGTAACAAACGGTTACTCACCAGTGACTCACGGCCTACCCGTATCCGTACCCGGCCGCACCAGGGTCGCAAACGGCTACCCGTACCCGGCCAGGTACGGGTAGCTGGGCATCGGGTAGGGTACGGGTATCGGGTATCCGGTTGCGACCTCTGCCAAGTCTTCACCACTCTTTTTCCAGGAGGGTCCCGCCAAATCTTTCGCAGTAGGGGGCGATGATTGCCACGCCAAACCCCAACGGTGCAATTTTTTTAAATTTGAACCACGACGCTGGCACGCGATGGCCGCCTCATTCAGAACCAATGACTCACATAGAGACCCATAGACTCATACGGAGATCAATAGACTCACATACAGAACCATAGACTCACATAGAGACCCATAGACTCATATGGAGATCAATAGACCCACATACAGAACCACTCGCATAGAGACCCATAGACTCATACGGAGATCAATAGACTCACATACAGAACCATAGACTCACATCACACGGATCTAGAGATTCACATACAGAGCCATACACTCACATAGAGACCCATAGACTCATACGGAGATCAATAGACTCACATACAGAACCACTCGCATAGAGACCCATAGACTCATACGGAGATCAATAGACTCACATACAGAACCATAGACTCACATCACACGGATCTAGAGATTCACATACAGAGCCATACACTCACATAGAGACCCATAGACTCATACGGAGATCAATAGACTCACATACAGAACCACTCACATAGAGACCCATAGACTCATACGGAGATCAATAGACTCACATACAGAACCATAGACTCACATTACACGGATCTAGAGATTCACATACAGAGCCATAGACTCGCATAGACACCCATAGACTCACACAGAGATCTACAGATTCATGTACAGAGCCACACACTCGCATAGACACCCATAGACTTACACAGAGATCTACAGATTCATGTCCAGAGCCATACACTCGCATAGACACCCATAGACTCATACGGAGATCTACAGATTCATGTACAGAACCATAGACTCCCATAGACACCCACAGACTCACACAGAGATCTACAGATTCATGTACAGAACCATACACTCGCATAGACACCCATAGACTCACACACATCTCTATGGATCCACATACAGAACCATAGACTCCCATAGACACCCATAGACTCACACAGAGATCTACAGATTCATGTACAGAGCCATACACTCGCATAGACACCCATAGACTCGCAGAGATCTACAGATTCATGTACAGAACCATACACTCGCATAGACACCCATAGACATACGCACATCTCTATGGATCCACATACAGAACCATAGACTCCCATAGACACCCATAGACGCACACAGTGATCTACAGATTAATGTACAGAACCATACACTCGCATAGACTCACACACAGAGCTACCGATTCATGTACAGAGCCATACACTCGCATAGAGAGCCATAGACTCACACAGAGATCTACAGATTCATGTACAGAGCCATACACTCGCATAGACCCCCATAGACTCACACAAAGATCTACAGATTCATGTACAGAACCATACACTCACATAGACACCCATAGACTCACACACATCTCTATGGATCCACATACAGAACCATACACTCGCATAGACACCCATAGACTTGCACAGCGATCTACAGATTCATCTACAGAACCATAGACTCCCATAGACACCCATAAACACACACAGATCTATAGATTCACATTTAGAGCCATACACTCGCATAGACACCCATAGACTCGCACAGAGATCTACAGATCCACACGCACAAGCGGGCCTTACCTGCGTGGCCCTCTTCTGCAAGGGCCAGTACGCCAGCAGGCGGTCGAGGCGGTGCGCGCAGGCGTTGGACAGCATCACGAGGTTGTGCACCTGCTCCTCCGCCTGCCCATACAGCCGCGTCGCTCTCTCCACCGCGTCTCTGGGGAGGGGGGGCAGAACGCGGGGCGGTCGACTTAGCATCCACCGCCGCGAACGTGCTCGTCCGTTCGCAAACGTGCGAGCGCGCTGCTTGCCGCCATCGCCGCCGCCATCACCGCCGTCATCGCCACTGTCGTGGTGGTGTTCCAGTGGTGGTGGCCCAGTGGTGGTAGCCCAATGGTGGTGGCCCAGTGGTGGTAGCCCAATGGTGGTAGCCCAATGGTGGTGGCCCAGTGGTGGTAGCCCAGTGGTGGTGGCCCAGTGGTGGTAGCCCAGTGGTGGTAGCCCAGTGGTGGTAGCCCAGTGGTGGTGCGTTTTGCCGCCTGTCGCAGAGGCTCGCCGCGCGAGTCCAGCGACCGTCCCTGGAGTGCCGGGCGGCTCAAGCGCAGCAAGTTGGCACAGCAGGGGGCACAGCTGGTGCATCTGTCAACTCGCCTCGGTCAGTCAACACGTGGCACCTGCTGGCTCTGTCACGTGACTTCCTGTCAGCGAGCCTTCGACACTTCACGCGGCCTCGGAGTGCACCTGGCCTGGCACAAAGCCGTGGTGACGTCACCGCCACTTAGGTATGTTCTCCGAGTGGGGAGCGGTGGTGTAGCGGTTAGCGAGCTGCACTAGGAATCCGGCGACCCGAGTTCGATTCCAACTCACGGCCAACACCAGTGACGATATTCTGAACCGGTCCTGGGCCTCCCCTAGGCTGACACAGCCTTAAATGAGTACCTGGTGCGGTGTGTAAAACATCACCAATGGGGAGACAAAGGCGGCCGGGCGTGGTGTGCCGTGCCGGCCTTCATAGGTGCCACTCGATAACAGCACTTGCTCCAACAGTCTGTTACAGGCTACACGGGGGATCTTTGTCTTTGGCACGTTCTTCAGAGTGTGCGTGAGTGTGTGTTGAGCCAGTGCGTGCGAGTTGAGAGTGTGTGGTGTTTGTATTCTCTCCCCCTAGCTCTGCGTGGGGTTCCCTCCGGGGTTCTCATCTTTCCTCCCACAGCGCGAAAAATGTTCACTGGTTCATGGCCAAAGAGACATGCCAACGCTGAAAAATTAACCTGCAGACGACTCACCCAGGAGATCACGCACAGCAGCGACGTCGCTAAACATTTGGCAGGACCCTCCCGAAAAAAAAGTCTTGAGACTCGGATCAGCGACTCCTGAATGATAATAAAAATAAGAGGAAGAAGAAATATCCCACGCACCCTGGAAAAAAAGTCTTGAGACTCACCGAAAGAAGAGGTTAAATATTTCTTTAAATGTCAATTGGTGCCTTTTCTTTTTGACAAGGGCCCCACTCTTGTTTCCGTCTCCGCTCTTTGCCGATTGTTTTCCAGCCCGGGACTCCCTTGAAGAAGGCAGAGAGCTTGCGAGCCGTCTCAGAGGACTCTCACTTGGCTCGGAAAACAGGGCGTACTTTATACACGTGCGTGCGCATGTGTGTGTGCAAGTGTGTGTATGGGGAGCGGTGGTGTAGCGGTTAGCGCGCTGCGCTATGAACCTGGCGACCCGGGTTCGATTCCCGCTCACGGCTAACACCGGTGGCGATTATCTGAACCGGTCCTGAGCCTCCCCTAGGTCGACTCAGCCTTAAATGAGTACCTGGTGCGGTGTGTAAACATCGCCACTGGGGAGACAAAGGCGGCCGGGCGTGGTGCTGGCCACCCACCCCCTAGTGTGCCGTTCCAGCCTTCATAGGTGCTCGCTAACAGCACTTGCCCCTACAGTCTGTTGAGGCTATACGGGGGATCTTTGTCTTTGTATACGTTATGAGGAGCGGGAGTGTATTTATGGATGTTGAACTTATTTTCGCCCTACACGTGGCTAACTGTGATAATGTGAGTGTAGCGTTCAGCGAGCCGCGCTACGAACCCGAGTTCGATCCCCGCTCACGGCCTACACCAGTGAGGAATACCATGAACCAGTCCTGGGCCTCCCCTAGGTTGACTCAGACTTAAAATTAGTAGCTGGTGCGGGTTTGTAAACAGCGGCATCGAGGAGACAAAGGCAGCTGGGTGTGGTGACCGCCACATATCCGCCTCGTGTCCCGTCCCGACCTTCATAGGTTGTGTGCTCGCTAACGGCACTTGCCCCAACAGTCTGCTACAGGCTACACGGGGGATCTTTGTAAATCCTTTATATTAAGTTCACTTGTTTGCGTGCTTGCTTGCGCGCTTACGACCGTGCAACTCTTTCGGTCGTTTTTTAACCCACTTCCCGTGATCCAATCGAGCTGACATTTTGCACACAGACTCGTTGTGCGTGACAATTTATTTTCGTGAAAATTTTTTTCCAACATTTTCTACATTTTAGGAAAAAAAAATTTATATTGCTTAATGGTGGCAGGCAATCATCTGACCCATAAGTGGCAGCCACCTCAAGCCAGAGGACGAGAGGACTCTAGCCGCCCGTTTCAAAGATCAATGTGATAAAAAATGAAACTCTTACTCAAGAAAAACAGAAATGAATAATAAAATAAAACCGATGCCACGCATATAAAGCATTTATAGTGAAAAACTTTGTTTTTACGGGTTAATTTTTTGCAACTGGACACGGCGTACATTAATGTTACACACACACGCACATTCATCTGTATGCGTGCAGGCATGTGAACCCACAGTGCGGCATGTGCACACATTTATTTATTATTATTATTCCTACACTTGCTGAACCAGGAAAGGCTCACCGAGTCTGAAGACTCGTTTACAGGAGGGTCCTGCCAAGACGTTGTCAACGGGGGGGGGGGGGGGGGGGGGGGGGGGGTTCTGATGCTGCTACTGATGCTGCTGCGTGTGATCCCAATTGCAGGGGTCATCTTTCGGCTTTTGCGATGGGTTTTTTTGTTGCCCAATACCACAGCTAGCTTTTATTTATTGACTAGCGGTAAGTACCCGGCGTTGCCCGGGCGAAAAAGGCGGACACACACATGGACTTAAACACAGACATCGACTTACACACACACACACATAGAGTTACACACACAAATGGACTCACACACACACACATAAGAGTTACACACACAAATGGACTCACACATACATACATAGAGTGAACAACAACAACAACCGCCATTCGCCACTAAGTGGCGGTGACGTCACCACGACGCTTGTGCCAGGCCATGTGCACCTTGAGGCCACGTGAAGTGTCGAACGCCCGCTGGCAGGAGGTCACGGGGCAAACCCAGATGGCACGGGTCGACTGACTGAGACAAGTGGCTGATGCACCACCTGTGCCCCCTACTGTGGCAACTTGCTGCGCTTTAGCCACCCGGCGCTCCGCTCGTTGTTGTGAGCGTCGCTCCTCCGCCCTCCGTTGTTGTTGGAGGGCGACTAAATCAATCCGCGGCAGGGAACCGAGGAAAAGAACCCAGAAGACACCCGTTGCACGAGAGGTTAGCGCCCAACTACGCTCCATTCTACACAAGGGCAAAGGTCCCCCGGGTAGCCTTTACAGACTGTTGGGGCAAGTGCTTATTATTTCCATTCTACGTGACTTTACCGAAAGAACCAAGAAGATGAATCCCTGCAAGTCACGAAAGCTTTAATGCGTGTGTACGTTCGTCCCGCGTACGTGCAAGTATGCGAGCCGGGAGCCCTGCGTAAACACGCGCACGTGCGCTGCTAGCGCTGCTGCCGCTGCCGCTGCTGCTGCTTCTGCTGCTGCTGCTTCTGCTGCTGCTGCTGCTTCTGCTGCTGCTGCTTCTGCTGCTGCTGCTGCTTCTGCTGCTGCTGCCTCTGCTGCTGCTGCTTCTGATTCTGCTGCTGCTGCTTCTGCTGCTGCCGCTGCTTCTGCTGCTGCTGCTTCTGCTGCTGCTGCTGTTGCTGCTTCTGCTGCTGCTGCTGCTGTTGCTGCTGCCGCTGCTTCTGCTGCTGCTGCTTCTGCTGCTGCTGCCGCTGCTGCTGCTGCTGCTTCTGCTGCTGCTGCCGCTGCTTCTGCTGCTTCTGCTGCTGCTGTTGCTGCTGCTGCTGCTTCTGCTGCTGCTGCTTCTGCTGCTGTTGCTGCCGCTGCTTCTGCTGCTGCTGCTTCTGCTGCTGCTTCTGCTGCTGCTGCTGCTGTTGCTGCCGCTGCTTCTGCTGCTGCTGCTTCTGCTGCTGCTTCTGCTTCTGCTGCTGCTTCTGCTTCTGCTTCTCCTGCTGCTTCTGCTGCTGCTGCTGCTGCCGCTGCTTCTGCTGCTGCTGCTTCTGCTGCTGCTTCTGCTGCTGCTGCTGCCGCTGCTGCTGCTGCCGCTGCTTCTGCTGCTTCTGCTGCCGCTGCTGCTGCGAGCGGAATGTGGAGCTGGAAGTGGCTCTCGCAGAGCGGCGTGGGCGTTGGTTGCACTCGGGGAGGCAGCGGAGGAGGAGGAGGAGGGCGGCTCGCAGGCCCCGTGCTGCCCTCGCGTGAGAACAGGCCGTGCTGTGTGCGGCGTCGGCCCCGCACTCGCACAGCTGTGCAAATCATCGCCCGCTTCCCTGCCAAGTGGCGTTGGTGCGCCCTTCACCCGCCGCACCCTTCCCGCTACACGCTACCACCCACAATGTTGTGCTCCACCACACCCTGCCATCACACTGGTGGTTCTCCACCCAGACTGGAGTGCTCCACCACACCCTACTCCACCACACCCTACTCCACCACACCCTACTCCACCACGCTGGTGTACTTCACCACAACCTATTCCACCACACCCTACTCCACCACGCCCTACTCCACCACTCCCTGCCACCACATTGGTGTGCCCCACCACACCCTACTCCACCACGCTGGTGTGCTCCACCACACCATACTCCACCACGCCCTACTCCACCACGCTAGTGTACTCCACCACGCTGGTGTACTCCACCACACCCTACTCCACCACACCCTACTCCACCACGCCCTGCTCCACCACGCCCTACTCCACCACGCCCTACTCCACCACGCCCTACTCCACCACGCTGGAGGGCTCCACCACACCCTACTCCACCACGCTGGTGTACTCCACCACACCCTACTCCACCACACCCTACTCCACCACACCCTACTCCACCA